ACTGGAGTTGACACAGGGTTGACAGGGATGGGCAAATAGACATTGGCTAACCGAAATGGGGGGAGGGGGCACAAAGGCAAGAAGTGACTAGCTTACAAGATTCCAAGAGAGATCCTACATCCAGAGGATGCAGGGGAAAGTGGTATCTCCACTGAGTGGTTTCCAATTTGTCTGGATGGGGCTAATGAAAGGAGACAGGGATAAGACTCTTGTGGTACAATAGTGAATAATTACTATCAGGGCTGACTGTGAGGGTTGGAAATGTAAAGGTAGACATTTTCTAACAAAAGGAGGGAAGTGGTTGACTTTGCAGTCTAGGAGCGGAGGTCCCTATGATGATCAAGGAAGAAGACTGACGTGCGGGACCCTACCCAGAGAAGCAGTGACACCAGAGATGGAGGAAGAGATGATAACATGGAGAGATGGAGCGGCTGGGGACTCTAGACCCAGAGAGGGAGAAGGGACTGTGTGCTGATGACCAGGTGGCAGGCTTGCAGGGTATATGCTTTGGTTGCTTGATGATGTATGGAGTAGATTGTAATCATGGCAATGAAACGATATACAATAGGATGAATGTAAGGCTAATGCTCTCTCATGAAAGTATCACACAATTTACAATAAAATCTTTAAAAAAAAAACAACAACCAAAACTTGGAAAAATAACTAGGAGTGTGGTCAATTTTACCATCTTGTTGTTGTTAAATGCCATCAAGTCGGTTCCGACCCATAGCAACCCTGTATAGGGTTTCCAAGGAGCAGCTGGTGAGCTTGAACCGTCGACCTTGCACTTCAAACGGCTTTGCAGTCTGGCACATTAACCCACAGCGCCACACCAGGACTCCAAAACTTAGCACAATGCCTGGAACTTCATAACCGTGGAAAGGTGGTGGCAGCTAACAACAACAGCAATGCTTTCAATTAGAATTTGTTCACAATGTTAGACTAAGAGATTTACCATATTACTAGGTATGAAATGATACATCTTGGTGACATGAGGGGCAGGATACTCCTTTGCTTGACTAACCAAGCTCACCTCTGTAGGACTTCTTGGGAATTGAGCCAATGGCTTGACCTTAATTGCCAGCTTCCAAAGCTGTGTGAGTCAACAGCCCGATATGTCATGAATAAGGAGAACCTTCAAAACTGATATGTGAACTGTGCATTTGGGACTTGCTAGCTTCCACAATTGTATGAACCACTTTCTTGACAATTCATGAGGTCTATGCGATGTTGCAGTGAATTTTGGAACGTTTGGATATGAGGGGAGGAGCAGTGGTTGCCATCAAGGATTATAGACTGGTATACCAATTTGACGGTGATGAGGCAAACAGAGTAAAGCCTGTGGAAGAAAAGCCCACAGGACCTTCATTTGCTGATGGGGCACAACTCAAAATGAAGAAAAACAGCTGTAAACATCCATTGAAAATCGGAACATGGAATGTATGAAGTATGAATCTGAGAAAATTGGAAGTTGTCAAAAATGAAATGAAACATATAAACATCAATATCTTAGCCACTAGTGAGCTGAAATGGACTGGTATTGGCCATTTTGAATCTGACGACCACATAGTTTACTATGCTAGGAATGACAAATTGAAGAGGAATGGTATTGCATTCACTGTCAAAAAGAACATATCCAGATCTGTCATGAGGTACAACGCTGTCTGTGATAGGATAATATCCATGCGCTTACAGGGAAGCCCAGTTAATACTACGATTAATCAAATTGACACACCAACCACTAAAGCCAGTGAGGATGAAATAGAAGAAGTCTACCAACTTCCTCAATCTGAAATCGATCAAACATGCAATCAAGATGTATTGCTCATTACTGGTGACTGGAATACAAAGGTTAGGAACAAAGAGGAAGTATCAGTAGTTGGAAAATATGGCCTTGGTGATAGAAATGATGATGGAGAATGCATGACTGAATTCTGCAAAACCAATTATTTGTTCATTTCAAGTACCTTCTTTAGACAGCATAAGAGACAACTATACACATGGACCTCACCAGATGGAATACATAGAAATCAAATTGAATACCTCTGTGAAAAGAGATGATGGAAAAGCTCCATATCATTAGGGAAAACAAGGCCAGGGGCAGACTGTGGAACAGACCATCAATTACTTATATGCAAATTCAAAATGAAGTTGAAGAAAATGAAAACAAGTCCATGAGAGCCAAAATATGACCTTGAATATATTCCACCTGAATTTAGAGATCATCTGAAGAACAGATTTGATACATTAAACACTAAAGACCGAAGACCAGACGAGTTGTGGGATGACATCAAGAACATCATACATGAAGAAAGTAAAAAGTCACTGAGAAGACAAGAAAGAAAGAAAAGGTCAAAATGGATGTCAAAAGAGACACTGAAACTTGCTCCCCTGTGTAGAGATACTAAAGCAAATGGAAGAAATGAGGAGGTCCAAGAGCAGAACAGAAAATTTCAAAGATCAGCTTGAGAAGATAAAGCCAAATATTACAACATAATGTGCAAAGATCTGGAATCAGAAAACCAAACAGAAAGAACACGCTCTGCATTTCTCAAGTTGGGGGAACTGAAGAAAAAATTCATGCCTTGACTTTCGTTATTGAAAGATTCTCTGGGAAAATTGATGCAGAAAGCATCAAGAGAAGATGGAAGGTATACAAAGAGTCACTGTACCAAAAGGAAATGGTTCATGTTCAACCATTTCAAGAGGTAGTATATGACCTAGAGCCAATGATACTGAAGGAGGAAGTCCAAGGTGCATTGGCAAAGAACAAGGCACCAGGAATTGATATGAAAAAAATTGAAACCTTTCAAGAAAGTGAGGCGGCACAGGAGGCACTCACTTATCTCTACCGAGAAACTTGGAAGACAACTATCTGGCTGACTGATTGGAAGAGATCTATATTTGTATTCATTCCAAAGAGAGGTGACCCAACAGAATGCAGAAATCATCAGACAATATCTTTGATATCCCATGTGAGTAAAGTTTTACTAAAGGTAATACAAAAATGGGTGCAAGCATACATTGACAGAGAACTTCTAGAGGTTCAAGCTGGATTCAGAAAAGGCTGTGGAATGAGGGATGTCATTTCTGATGTCCAATGGATCTTGGCTGAAAGCAGAGAATATCAGAATGATATTTACCTATGCTTTATTGACTACGCAAAGGCTTTCGATTGTGTGGATCATGACAAGCTATGGACAACATTGTGAAGTATGAGTATTCTGGAAGACTTAATTGTGCTCATGAGGAATCTGTACCTGGACCAAGAGGCAGTTGTTCGAGCAGAACATGAGAACACTTACTGGTTTAAAATTTTAAAAAGTGTGGGAAAGGGTTGTATTCTTTCACCATACTTATTCAGCCTATATACTGAGCAAATAATCTGAGAAGCTGGGTTGTATGAAGAAAAACATGACATCAAGATTGCAGAACACTCATTAACAACCTGCGATATGCCAATGATACAATCTTGCTTGCTGAAAATAAAGAGTACTTAAAACATTTACTGATGAAGATCAAAGAGCACAGCCTTCGGTATGGATTGCATCTCAATGTAAAGAAAACAAAACTCCTCACCACTGGACCAATAAACAACATTCTTATCAACAGAGAAAAGACTGAAGTTGTCAAGGACTTAATTCTTCTTGGATCAACTATCAACACTCACAGAAGCAGCAGTCAAGAAATCAAATGGCGTATTGCATTAGGCAAATCTGCTGCACAAGACCTTTTTGAAGTGCTGAAGAGCAAAGATGTCAGCTTGAGGACGAAGGTGCGCCTGACCATAGTATTTTCTATAACCTCATATGCATGTGATAGCTGAACAGTGAATAAGGAAGACCATAGAAGAATTGATGCTTTTGAGTTATGGTGTTGGAGGAGAATATTGGGCAGCCAAAAGAACAAACAGATCTATGTTGGAAGAAGTGCAGCCAGAGTGCTCCTTGGAGGCCAAGATGGCCAAACTTCGTCGCTCATACTTTGGACATACTGTCAGGTTGGGCCAGTCACTGGAGAAGGATATCAAGTTTGTAAGGTGGAGGGTCAGAGAAAAAGAGGAAGACCCCCAACAAGATGGACTGGCCAAGTGGCAGCATCGATGGACTCAAGCGTGGCAACAGTAGTAAGGTTGGCCCAGGATCAGGCAGTGTTTAGTTCTGCTGTGCATAAGGTCATTATGGGTCGGTACCGACTTGATGGCACCTAACAACAATAACAATATATACCAAGGAGTGGGATTGCTGGGTCATATGGCAAGTGTATATTTATTTAACTTTAGGAGAAACTGTTTTCAAGAATGGCTGCACCATTTTGCATTATCACCAACAATGCATGAGGAGTTTTAGATGTTTCATATCCTCTACTATACATGGTATGGTCACTCTTTTTAATTTTAATAGGTGTGTAGTGGTATTTCATAATGGTTTTAATATAATTTCCCTGATAACAAATAATGTTGGACAGGTTTTGGAACAGCAATATTATTAAAGACAGAATTAATAAAATGAAATATCCTGTACTATAGAACTGAAAATATTTTACTGTAGTTTATACTGTTAAGATCTCTGGTAGCTTAGTGGTTATGAATTGGGCTGCAAACCACAAGGTCAGCAGTTCGAAACTACCAGCTGCTCCAGGGGAGAAAGATGAGGCTTTCTGCTCCTGTAAAGATTTATAGCCTCGGAAACCCTGTTCAGGGTTGCTATGGGTTGTAACCGACTCGATGACACTTAACAACAACAACAACATACTGTTAATGGGATTCCTGGTGCCAGAATGGGTTACTAACTGCACAGTTGGCAGTTTAAATCCACCAGCCACTCCAGGGAAGAAAAATGAGGCTTGTTGCTCTCGTAGAGATTTACACTCTCAGAAACCTGACTCAATGGCATACAACAACAACATACTGATAATATTCAATAAAAAGTTATGAAGTTTCCTAATGGCAGTAAAAGGACACTGAAAGAAGAATACAAATACATATTTTGAAACTGTACCTTTTCTCGCCAAAATCAAGCCGGCCAATCCTGAGACAGTAATCACTCCAACTTTGGGAAGAAAATCTCCAGGAGGATTCTTTAGATAGATATATGCATCTAAAAAGACCAGTTAAAAAATTACTGTAAATGATTTATCACAAATAAGAATCTACATAGGTATAATGGAAAAAAAGTTAAAGATTAGATGGTTTTAAATGTAAAACTAATGTTCTTCCATGTAAACTATCACATAATTCACAATAAAACATTAAAAAAAAGTAGATGCTTTTAATATTCTTCAAAAGAACTATATAAAATAAGAACAAGAGCAGTACTTTGAAAGATAATTATAATAAGTATTTATTACAATATGAAATATTCTGTCAGTCATTGATTTACAGATTACTTGTTTTCTTAATGATACAGGTGACTATTACTCTTTAATGAAATACAAGGCTGAGTCAAAAATTAACTGTACTCTGGTTAAATTATGCCTGTCTACGTTCATGGCTGACGACAACATTGAGTGTGTATGTGAAATGATTCTGTTGAATACAAGAGTAACAGTGGACTATGTAGCAAATCATTTGCAAATCAGGTATGGCACCACCTACAAAATAATCCATAATAGACTTGAGTTTCAAAAAGTCTGTGTGAGATAGGTACCATAACAACTGATTGAAGAACATAAACGGAAGCATTTGGACATCAACAAATAAAATTTGGACCAATACTGAAAGGAAGGTTAAAGTTTCTTTAACAAATCATTCCTGGTGACGAGATATGGATTGAATACTATGAGTCTGAGAGTAAATGGCAAAGTACAGAATTGAAACATCCTCAAATCACTGACCAAGAAAGAGTTCAAAAGTCAATCTATCAGCTGAAAAATTGATGCTTACAGTTTTCTGGGATTCTCAAGGGCCAGTATTGGAACATTATCAAGAAAAGGTTCAACAATTAGCAGTGCTCATTACAGTGAGATGCTCACTGAAGAGCGGAAGCCTAAACTTCGGACTAAACACAGAAGACTGTTTTCCAAGGGTGTTGTGAGCTTGCATGACAATGCACGTCCCAATACCTCTTATCCACACTTTTGACACTCTGTAAAAACGTCATTTTAAGGTGTTAAAGCATACTCCTTATAGTTCATAAGACTTTCGCCTGTTTAGTCCCCTAAAAGCAGCTCTTTGAGGACGAAGATTCACCTCTGAGGAAGAAGTGAAGACAGAAGTGCATTTGTGACTCACAACTCAGCCTAAAACATTTTGTTAATAAGAAAATACGAAAGCTTGTTGACTGATGGACAAGTGTATTTAAAAGCAAGGAGATTATGTTGAAAACTGATGTATTTGTCTTTTCTAAAAGTTGATTAAAATCAATTCTACAGCCAGAGTATGGATAATTTTTGACTCACCCTTGTATAATGCTACACTATACACTGTAATATGGATTACTATAAGGTGAATTACCGACTATGTATTATACCCCTATACTGCACGTTTCTGCTCATATCTGTTCAAGTATTGGTAAGACTCAGTAAGAACCAAAATAGATACTTTTTTAAACAACTTAGAATAATATTCTAAGGATACACTCAACTAATAGGTCCTGTTTGCCACTGCTCACCAGTCTACCTCAGAGCACAGTTGCTTTTGGGTAAAACCAATGAAGACTAATCAAGGATTAAAAAAATAAGCCTAGATAAAAAGAGATGAAGAGTGAATAGAATTACAGATTCTTTGAATTTTTACATATTTAAATTGTATCTGATTTTATGTAATTCCAAAATACATTGTTCCATAACAGCTAATTATTTAATGAAAATCACTTAACCATATACTTCAAAACTGATAAAAGGTTATCACTTGGAATTAGTTCCTACACATACATTCAATAATAGGTTATTAACTTCATGTTGTTGTTAAGTGCCGTCGAGTAGATTCCAACCTATAACAACCCTGTATAGGGTTTCCAAGGAGCAGCTGGTGAGCTTGAACTGCCAACCTTGCAGTTCAAACGGCCTTGCAGTCTGGCACATTAACCCACAGTGCCAATTAACTTCATAGAAACATCTAAATTTTAGCCGATTTTTCTGTTCTCCATTACATATTTATTTTGATAACTGATTTAAGCCAAGAATATTAGAAGGTTTTGTTTGTTGCTCCACCATTCATTTGTCAGCTGTCATACTGTGGTGGTTTACGAGTTGCTGTGATTCATGAATCTACCCCAATTAAATACTAGTAGGGTTACCCATGAAGAAAAGGTTTCAGCTGAACTTCCAGAATAAGACAGACTAGGAAGAAGGAGAGGGGAAATACTTCTGAATGTTAAGACACCAAAAACATAATAAATAGCAAAGGAACATTGACTGCTCCAGAAAATTGAATATTGAAATATTGTAAATAGCACTAGAATATTGTCAGATATAGTGCTGGAAGATGAATACCTCTGGTGGGAAGGAACATAAAATACAACTAGGGAAGAGTTGCCTCCTCAAAGTAGAGTTGATTGTGATGACGCGAAGTGAGTAAAGCTTTCAGGACCTTCATTTGCGGATGGAATACACCTATGGAGGCAGTAGCTCAAAAGAGGGAACATATCTTTACAGAGAGGATCATTCTTACCCCCTGCATACACACAGTAGACAGGGATGGGCAACTTGGACATTGGCTACCCAAAATTGGGGGAGGGGGACTACAAAGGCAAGAAGTGACTTGCTAACAAGCTTTCAAGGGGGAGCCTAGAACCAGAGGACATGAAGGAAGGTAGAATCTCCACTGAGTAGTATCCATTCAGTCTGGGTGGGGCTGATTAAAGGAGATGAGGATGGTTCTTTTGTGGTACAACAGTGAATAATTATTATCAGGATTGACGGTGAGGTTTGGAAATGTAAAGGTAGACGTTTTGTAGCAAAGGAGAGGAGTCCCTGGGACTATCAAGGGAAAAGAGCCGAGAGCGGGACCCTACCCAGAGAAGCAGTGACACCAGAGATGGAGGCAGAGATGATGACGAGGAGAGACAGAGTGGTTGGGGACTTTAGTCCCAGAAAGGGAGAGGGGCTATGTACTTATGACCGGGGAACAAGCATGGAGGGGATTGTAACCATGGCAATGAAATGATATACGATAGGGTGAATGTAAAGCTAATGTTCTCCCATATAAACTATCACATAATTCACAATAAAACATTTTAAAAAATGGGAATTGAAGGGAAATTCCTCAACATAATCAAGAACATATATACAAAACCAACAGCCTACATAACTCTCAATGGAGAAAAACTGAAAGCCTGGCATCTGTGCATAGGAAGCAGACAAGTATGCCCTTTGTCACCACTCCTATTCAATATTGTTTGGGAAGTATTAGCCAGAGCTATACAGCACGAAAGGGAAATTAAAGGGCTCTAAATTGGCAAAGAGGAAATAAAACTGTCTCTATTTGAAGACGATATGATCCTATACATAGAAAACTACAACAACTCAGTGAAAAAAAGCTACTAGACATCATTGGAGGATTCAGCAAAGTGTCAGGGTATAAGATCAACATACAAAAATCAGTTCGAGTCCTCTATAGTAACAATGACAGTGCTGAAAAAGAGATTAGGAAAGAAATACCATTTACAATAGCCACCCAAAGGATGAAATATTTAGGAATAAATGTAACCAGAGAAACAAAGGTCCTATACAAAGAGAATTACAAAACACTACTACATGTAACCAAAAGAGACTTACGAAAGTGGAAGAATATACCATTTTCCTAGATAGCAAGACTCAACATTGTGAAAATGTTAATACTACCCAAAGCTATTTACATATATAATGCAATCCCAATCCAGATTCCAGAGACATTCTTCAAAGAGATGGAAAAGACAATTACAAACTTTATATGGAAAGGAAGGAGACCCAGGATACATTGCTCAAGAAGAAGAATAAGGTTGGAAGCCTCTCACTCCCCAATTTCAAATTCTAATACACGGCTACAGTGGTTAAAACAGCCTGGTACTGGTACAATGAAATCCAACTCAGTATGGATTACAGACCTAAATATGAATCCTAAAATTATGAAAGTCATCAATGAAAAAATAGGAACAAATGTGAGGGCTCTAATACAGGGAATACACAGAATACCAAACATTTTGAAAAGCACACAAAGAAAAGTAGAGTAGACAAAATAGTGAGTGAGACATACTAAAAATTAAAAATGTATGTGCATCAAAAGACTTCAATAAAAGAGTAAAAAGGGAATCCACAGAATGGGAAAAATGTTTTGCAACAACACATCAGACAAGGGACTCATTTGTAAAATATATGGGAAACAACACCACCTCTACAAGAAAAGGACAAATAAACCAATTAAAAAATGGTCACAGGATATGAACAAACACTTTACCAAGGAAGAGATCTGGGCAGTCAACAAACACATGAAGAAATGTTCTCAATCACTATCCATTAGGGAGATGCAAATCAAAACAACATTGAGATATCATCTCACAACAGCAATAACAGCAAAGATAAAAAAAGTAAAGGACAATAAATGCTGGCGAGGATGTGGAGAGACTAGGACCCTTCTACATTGTTGGTTGTACTGCAAAATGGTCCAACCACTCTGGAAAACAATATGGTGCGTCCTCAGAAGGTTGGAAACATAAATAACTTATGATCTAGCAATTCCTCTACTTGGTATTTACCCACAAGAAATACAAGCCATAACACTAGTAGATATATGCACACCAATTTTCATAGGAGCGCTATTTACAATAGCAAAAAGATAGAGACAGCCTAAGTGCCCATCAACTGAAGAATGGATAAACAAACTGTGGTACATACACAATGGAATACTAGGCTACCTTGAAGAACAAGGAAGCTGCAAGCCACCATATAACATGGATAAATCTTGAATACATTATGCTGAGTGAAATTAGTCAGTCACAAAAGGGGAAATACTGCATAAGACCATTATTGTATAAGATTAAGAAAAAGAAACCACCCTAAAAGAGGAAAAAAATTAAATATATATATTTGCTGATCATCAGTAGGTATGGGATGAGAGGAGGGGAGGAAGGCAGATAGAGCACAGGGCAGAAATTGACACAAAATTGCTTGGGTGGGGCGA